GACTAAATAGCTTAAATCTCATAACATTATACATTTATTTATATTTATTATTCTTATTATATTGACCTTTCAGCCATACCTGGCTAACAACACAATGATGCGGCGCATGTGCACTCATGTTACCATATCCAATAATATATAACTAGCCTCTACAAAGTAGCTTGTCTTGGCTGTGTTTTAGTGGACTAGTATTTTGTAAAATAGTCACATTTTAATTATTATACATAATATATGTATATACATTATTACTATTTACAAATAACTTCTTAAACTTATTTTTCTTCAAACATAGAACAGTGAATAAAGAAGTAAAGCAAACAATTATCTCTTCTAGTTTTGACCTTTGTATTCCTTTGCTGCTTGTCATAGGTCTAAGCCTTATAAATTTTTGCACATGGAGGATATGAAAGAAACAAATTTTTTTTTTAGGTTTTATATATACATTTGAAATAACCAAAAAATCATAACTTACTATATCAATACCATAGAATTACAGTGTAATTTATGGAGCTTAGTAATTTAACTGTATTTGGGTATAAAAAATATGAAATTTTGAGCATCATTAAGACTCGCCTTACCAGAATGAAGATTTAATCGAAGGGACAAGAGGATGTCATAATACTTGAAAATAGCTGAGAAAGTCACTAGGTGGACATTCTGAGCTTTTGATTGGTTATTCATGTTCTAGACAGAAGTAAGTGTGTATAAGGGAGTGTTTCTAAAAATGGAAAGAGGTGAGTTGGACCACTGTGTTTGATTCAGTACATGAGCGATATCTCAGCAAATAAAAAAGATAGGAGGTTCTTAATTTACATTCTGGCTTGTTAATATTGGTAATTTGAGTTCCTAATTCGTATGAAACTACAGATTTTGTATTTGGACATCACAAACATCTAATATGAACCAAAGCTGCATTCAACATCCCATGTGAAACACAAAAATTGGTGTTTGTGTGTGTTTTTTATATTTACTTTAAAATTAACAAATCAAATAATGTATAATACTAAAATTTGAATTATAATCTACAGTTTGATACCACACTTATTGACATAAATTCATGAAATAGTAGTTCAATAAAATTTTGATTGCGAGTCAACAAATGCAATGACACGGCCTTTGATCCATGACTTATGTGGAAAGGGTCAAGAGCCCAGCTAGTTATGGGTGGTGAAGCTTAGTCATGACTAATTATGCTATTGTGACTTTTAAGAAGAATTCTAAGAAACCATGAGGGAAAGCAAAACAGAATGTTATGCCAACCATCTACCATATCCAATGCCAATATGGCCTTTCACCCAGTACCAAGGTTCATCATAAATGCTGTGTTGTAACAGATATAGTAGTGGTCTAGTTGATATATATATATATATATATATATATCACCAAATTTCCTGAACAATGACTGTTATGGTGTGAACCAAATTGAGCAAGTGAATTGTAACTATTATTATGACAATTTTTTGCATTTGCTTGTGATAGTAACTTTGTTACATGTGTGTCTGTAAACAAATTTTGCATTGTTTTATCATAAAATGCCTAATATTTATGGTAGCTCTAACAATAAATCCCAAGTATTGTTGAACAAATGACTGGTAATGGTTAAAATTAAGTGATATCTTCCACTGTAGAGCTGGGCATGTAATGGATTTTGCTAGTTGATTAATCATCAGGATCATTGATTACATTTTATTAATTGATTATTCTCACATGAAATGGCTATATATACATGTGTCTGTGTATTGATGTAAGTTAGTTTGGTTTAGAAAACAAATGAAAACTTTTTATCACATTTTTTTCAATATAATGTGAACATTTACTATTTGGCATATCACTATACATGTCACCATTTTGTTTTGTTTTTAAATATGCAGTAATCTTCCATTCATTTGTGTAAACCAACTAATGGAAACATGTTTTACTATCACAAATAACATTACTAATGTTTTTATATAAAACATAACATGATTGCAGTGAAAAATCATTAAGTAGCCTGTTAGCCAATTTATTTGTGTACATTGTTTGAATATCAAAAACTTAAAAGTAATATTTAATAAATAAGGGTATGAATCATCAGAATATTTTTAGGTCTCTTATCTTACCCATCAAAACATGCCTATAGCTTACCTGTTTTATTTTCATCTTAAATACTTTCTGTAGCTATCATCCCCCACCCCACCCAAAATAAAAATTATAGTGAAGTAAGGAATATCTCCTTGTCCTATCAACATAGTAATAAACAAAGATTTTAAGTTAACAAAGACTACTAAGTCTAATGTTAAAAAGCTTTCATCCACGTCTTGAAATCAGAGGCTGTTTTTATGGCAGTTCCATTCAAACCTGTCAGATTCCCTAATGCAATTGAATGGAAATGCATACTTTTGGTGTGATTTGAAGTCATTGGTGTAAGACATTAACTGACTTATGGAAAGCTGCACAAGAGAATAAAAGTGGAAAAACATTGTTGAAAACAGTTAGATCATAACGATAAAGGAAATATGGTTTTCACTAGTACTATATCAGAGTTAATCATCATTTGAAAAAAATGACCTTCTGTGTAGCTAATTAAATTGAAAATACTATACCTTGCTTGTGTCTCAACAAAATGTGCTTTACAGTTTGTAAACAAACTGTTTGCTTTAGATTAGTTTTGGACTAATCATGTTTTCCATTGACATGTGAGGTTGAAGTTATTGATATATATTTCTAATAACATAAGTGGAATTGATATCTCCAATTATTAGTTTGTTTATAATTTTAAAACTTTTTTTTCCAAGTCTTTATGTATAAAAAAAGCTATCAAACTAAAAACATAGTTTACATTTCATGTTAAACGTTTTTAGTTGTGTAGCAAGAAAATAGAGCCTTTGCCTTTTTGATGAAATAAAGTTCTTCTGACAAAATGTCTTCTTGAAGAGGTTATTTTGAGTATTTTTTGATTCATACTGCGGAAGAGGTTCTGTTCTAACAGCATATGACTTGCCACAACATGTAGGAAACATTTTTGCAACATGAAAGGTCCGAAAATATTTAAAGATTATACTTGAGTTTTTCCAAAATGAGACATTTTTACTTGTAAGTAAATATACTTGGAAGTCAATATAGTTAAACGTTTTTCTTCTCAGATATTAAGGATAGCAAAACAAAAATGTCATTCTCACTTCTGTATATGTAACTTGACTTCGTTTTTTGTTCCAATTGGTAGTTGTATTTGTGTAGCTGTTCATGATATAAAACTGTCAGTTGCTTGGTTATCACTGGTAAATGATTTAATCATTTTTGCTCCTATTTGTGAATATGTATTTATATTATAAACTGTTACAAATATTTTGCAGCCATATCATGGGTTCTGGCATAGCCTGGTGGTTAGGGCACTTGAAATCACAATTTGTATTTAAAATTTAAAATTAGGAACAGATATTCTTCAAGTAGCTTTGTATAAAAATTGTATGAATGAACAAACAAGTTTTACCATGGAGACCTGGCCAAAACGAATAGGTTACCAGTGAGAGTAATTTAATTTTAAAATTAACCTTCTTGAATCAGTTCCCAGTATTTGAGTAAGATAAAAGAATAAAATGTATTATTTTATGTGTATATTAAAATTATTTGAAGTTGCTTGTTAGTGGCAATTTGTGGTTGTTTATTTTCTGTGCTAATAAAATTTTTTTAGCATAACATAACAGCCAGTTTTCATGCTTTATAGTTTTGAAGTATCTAATTCCTTAAACTGCAGGAAATGTCTTTCCGCCCACTTTCTTTAGATTTGGATAGGAGGCTACATGAACTTGGTTTAATGAAGAAAATAGGTAGTTTGTGGATGTACATCTTACCTACCAATATGTTTGACCTCAAGCAGCCAACAGTTGGATCCCATCGAGCTGCTTATTTGCATTCACCTTCATGTAAGTATTCAGTTTATTAACAGAATATAAGTGCATGTTTTTAGTTCATTATTTATTTGCTTATCTTTTTTAGTTTCTTCGCTTTATGAGCCCCTCGACGTGGATTCCTGTACGTGGTGAGGGGACCTCCCAGGGAAGGTTCTG